GGGGGCTTAAGTGGAGAGAAAATGTTTTGAGAATGATGTACAAATATGCTTTACACAATTGATGTGTGTATGGATTGTGGTAAGAGTTGTATGAGCCCCTAATAAAACAATTTTAAAAAAACCAAAAATCTCAGCTGCGAGGATTTTCTCCTTTCCCCATCAAGGGTTGAGGTGATCAAAAAGTGACCTTTTAAGGCAAGTGCTAAGACGACAGAAGGTATCCTTGGGTAACATTAGGGTTCAGAGCTGGACTGCTGAGAGAAAGGTTGGTGGGTCAAACCTGTCCAGAGACAACGCAGAAGGCAGGCTTGGGAATCTGCTCCCCAATGATCACAACCTGCAAAACCTATGGGGTGCAGTTTTGCTTGCACAGATGAATCACCATGAGTTGGAAGAAACTTGATGGTGGGGGCGGGGGCGCGGGCGGACGGACGGACAGGGCTTTGGATCCCTTATGGTATGCCAGCCCTGGACTGCCTCACTCAGACCATGTTCAGCACGACGGAGAATAAGCTTCTATTTTACAGGATAGAATGTACTAAAACAAAATATAGTTGAAAATCAAATTGAGAGCAAAATAAAAGAGTTCCTTGAAATTAAAAATAAATCTCTGCTAGTGAGAAGATAACATTAAGGCAATTTGATAAGAAGTTAAAAAATAGAGTTTCAGGATTAAAATGATAAGTTAAAAGATGAATTTGGAAGATCCAACAGCACCATTAAGAAAAATAGAAAATATTAGGGACAAAACTATCCAAAAATTTTAAATGCAATACATTTTCCCAGAACTGGAAGGCATGAGCTTCCACATTGGGAGAGACCAGGGAACAGCAAGAAAAACTGCAGGGCGGAGATATCCATTATCCCCCAAACTTGAGAGTGCTACAAACAGAGAGGCCCTGAATGTCCTGGGAGCTGGAGGTAGAAGACAGAGCTAGTTTCATTATAAAGGTACAAGGGAGAGTGGGAGTGCCTTCGTCCACAAACAGAATATTTGTATACGCGTTCTTACCTTTCCTATAAATACATCCATGAAGGAAGTCAAGTAGACAGAGGGCGAGCTTATGAAAACATCCAAGGCATAACTGAACACTGTGAGAGACTCAGGACCCTGTTCTCCAGGGACACCAAAGTCAATTAGCATGACCAAGTCAACAAAGACAATGTGCTGCATCCTGTAGCCACCAAAGTGACTAGCTACTGAGGTCTTAAAACCTCATCTAAGGTACAGCTGTTGGTTCCTCCCAGTCTGGGAAGAAGATGAGTGATTTAGACCGAAGACACACGAAAAGAATTAGTCCAATGCAACTCATGGACCAAGCAACATCAATATACATGATCCTGGGCCCAGAGAACTAGATGGTATCCAGCTACTATTACCAACTGCTCTATCAGGGATCATGTTAGAAGGTCCTGGATAGATTAAGAGAAAAAGATAGAACAAAACACAAAAGCATTAACCCTGTAACGCTGAGTGCGACATTTGTGTAGCATTTAATTAAATGTATACATTAATATATACATATATATTGATAACTATGAAAGTAAAGAATAAAAACAAAAAAAGAATTTTCCTGAAATTAAAAATGCAGGCATGATAGGGTTAAAATACAAGCAAGCAAACAAACAGAAACAGGCTGACTGATTGGATAGCAATTAGTGGACTTCTGTAATTATTACTGTTTGGGCCGAGTCCGGACTAGGCAGCCCCATCTCCTCTCCAGCTCCTCAGGAGGATAGACCTTCCAGGCCCCATTTCCAGCCTCTCAGGAGGATAAATGGCCTAATGAAGTCTGCATCTTCTGCCCCAACCTTCCAAGGAGCTGATCTCCCCAGACCAAGGTTGTGCAGCCCCTGTCCCGGCACAACAGGGAGTAGGTTGGCAAACAACAAAGGCACTTCCCACAGATCACATCCTGAGTCAAGGTCCTGCGGCTGCAAGCAAAAAAATCTCCCTTCTTGTTGTCAACTTACCTCCCAAGCTCCAGCTCTGTATCTCTCCCACCGCCTCACCGACAAGCTGCGATGTCCCTGACCCAACTCGTTGGGTCTTGGAACCGCCCAGGAGTTCAAGATGCTCCAGGCCCTCTCTCTGCTCTCCCTTCCCTCCTGGGAGCTCCTTCCCTACCCTGATAAAGCCGCTCTTAACCTCATGTTCTTTGTCTCAGTCCTATCTCCATCCATGTCTCAGTGTTGACTTCTCAATTACCCGTTGGGTCTGGAAAGTAACTCACCTGGTGGCTCAATTTTTAGTTAAACAGGAGACAAATCTATAAAGAAGACAATACTACTACAAGGGCACACACCTTAGACTAATCAACCATTTGAGACCAAAAGGGTTGCATTGTGGAATGGAAACAGGAAACACAAGAAGGAATTAGGATAAGTGGAGGTACTTTGAGGGGATTGCAATGAATTAGATGAAATAAAATGTATGAATGCTTAAATGTACAACTGATCATTGCTGTGCATGGCAGTTACATAATCTATCAACTTGTAAAGAGGCGGAATCTAGCCTGTCAATCAGATTGCAGCTTGATGACCTCATTTGGAGCCACAAGGGAGATAAATAGCTCGCTGGAGGCCAGACACATTCTCTCTGCTTTGTCTCCCTGCGAGACATTCCTGATGGTAAGCCACATGGAACTATGCTGATGGAGCTAGAGCCCTGGAGCTGGAGAAGCCACATGGAGACCCACACCAGCATTGAGATGCTTCCACTGCCACTGGAACCACAAGACTTTCCACCCACTGACCTGTAATCTTCCTGCATTCAGTATCATTGCATGTGCTTCCTGAGTCTAAAGATGAATTTATGGACTGATATCAGATATATGGGCTAATAGCAGACATATGGACTTGATCTAGACTGGGCTGTGATGCTTTCTTAATATACAATTACTCTTTGGTATGAAGCTCTCGCTCTTACACATTTATGAGTGTCTCTGCATTTGTTTCGCTAGTCAACTTCCACTAACACACTGTGTAATCTTTCACCCAATTCACATAAAACATTTTTTTCTTTTAACTATCTCACCTGGATCTGAGAAACCATAAATCAAGGATTCTAATGTTCAGAGTGAAAATGTTTTGAACTTAGATTTTTGTTTGGTCAAAATGTAATCAGATGTGGGAAATAAAGAGACTTCGTGCCCGAAGATTTATTTCCTATGTGCTGTTTCTTTAAAAAGCTACTAGAAAATATGATACGCTCATAAGAAAATTAATGAAGACAGAACCTGCTACAGAATCCAGAAGATGAAAAGCCGTGTAGGAGAGATTTAAGGGACATGACTTGAGGGAAATCATTGCTGCGATCACATGGATCTTGGCTGAGAGCAGAGAATATTAGAAAGATGTTTACCTGTGCGCTTTATTGACTGTGGAGTATAAGAAGCTACAGACAACCTTATGATGAACAGAATTCCAGACCACTGAATTTTCCATATGAAGCATCTGTACTTAGGCCAGGGGGCAAGAGTTTGAGCAGAACAAGACGTGCGGCTTAAAATCCGAAAACTACGAATACAAGTTCTTCCCTTTAGCCACCATCTTCAATCTGTACGCTGAACAAATAATCTACGAAGTCAGATATGCAGGATATGAAGAGGATGTAGCATCGGGATTTGAAGCCTTCATTCACCCATAAGCTGTGACATGCTGCTGACGTAACCTTGCTTCTGAAAGTGAAGAGGACTTGAAGTATTTACTGATGATGATCAAAGGGGTGCGGGACCAATAGAACCTCAACATAAAGAAAACAAAAATCCTCAAAACCGGACCAATATGCAACATGGTGAAAAATGGAGAACAGATTGAGGTTAAGTATTTCAGTCAAAAAACCAAGTGATGTATTGCATTGGGCAGGCCTGCTCCACACACGCGTGCACACACACACACACACACACACACACACACACACATACACACACAATCCCAGACTTAGGGACATGGAGTCGATTCTGGCTCACGGTGACCCTTTAGGACAGAGTAGAACTGCCCCTGTGGGTTTCTGAGGCTGTAAAGTCTTGATGGGAGCAAAAGAAACCTTGTCTTTCTCCCACAGAAGAGCCGGGGGGATCAAGCTGCTGACTATGGGCTAGTAGCCCAGCATGGGACCCACTCTGCCACCACAGCTCCTTTCGGCTACACGAGGTCCTGTTTTAAAATGTTACAAAGCAAAGGTGTCACTTTTAAGGACCTAGGCACACTTGGCCCAAGCCATGGCACTTTCGATGGCCTCACAGGCATGGGAAAACTGGACAGTGATTAAGGAAGAACAAATAAGACTTGGTGCGTTTGCATTTATAAGGCTGGTGACGCACATTGAGCGTGCCATGGACTGACAAATACACAAATCTGTCTTGGAAGAAATAAAACTAGACTGCTCCTTTGACACAAGGATGGCAAGATGTTGCCTCCCACCACCCGGCGGGACCAGTCTCTGGAGAAGGATTCCATGCTTGGTCAAGCAGCTGGGGAGTGAAAAAGTGGAAGACCCACCACAAGATGAATGGACAGTGTTTGTTCAAACTTAGTCATGACCGTGAGGATGACACGGAATGGGACAGTGCTGAGTTCTGCTGCGTACAGGGCTCACTGTGAGTCAGAACCTCCTAGATGGCACATAACCGCCGCCACCGCCACCAGGAAAACTAACAAAGACGAAAAGGCGAAGCAAACAAAATACTGATTTTAAAAGATAGAGTCAAGGTCTCACTACTTGACTCTCTGGAAGAATTAATATTTAAATTTCCATAATAAGGAAAACCGTTACAATTGGTTTAAATGAAAACTATGATAAACTATATGGAGGGAAGGACGGGGGTGTGGTGAACGAGAGCAGAAGAGGAAGGGGTGGACGATGTCTAAAGTGGTGAGTCGGGAAACTGCAGAGAAATATCACTGAGAAACACGGAGGTAAACACCAGAAGAGAAGCTAAACGTGGTTGTGGTCGTCTGTGGTGGGAGATGGCTCATGGAGATTAGTGGGGCAAAGGACTCATTATTTTTCATTAAAATCTCTTGACCTACTGGATGTTAAAACCATACACATTATTAGTGTTAGTAAATGGAATGAGTGCAGTCCAGTGGGAGCTCCTTTCTCCAGTCTAAGCACTCATGAGCCCCTCCCCCCAGAACCACGTGCCTCACCTTTGCTGAAATGGAAGTGAATCTCCTCTCCTGCCCGGGGCTTCCTCAGGGACACCGGCGTCTCTGTCTCTGACAGAGGCAGATCAAAGAATCTGTACTCCACGTACACCTGCTTGATGCTCTCATTAGACATCACTTCAGCCTCTGGGTAGAAGGCTAGCGAGATGATTTCAATGCACATCTTCTCTGAACTCTGATCAAGAAAATATTTATTTCCTTACAGGTTAGGGATGTAGCAAGTGTTGTATTCCATCTATTTAACACATCGCTCACTCACCCGGTGCCCTCGAGTTGATGCTGACGTATAGTGGCCCTTTAGGGGAGGGGGTTTCTGAGAGTAACTCTTTAGTTAGGGAGAGGAGAAAGCCTCGTGTTTCTCCCTTGGAGCTGCTGCTGGGGCGTTTGAATTGCTGCCCCTGTGGATTGCAGCCCCACACATAACCACTATGCCACCAGGGCTCCTATTTCTCTCTAGAAGTCAGACGTAGACACCTCAATCAAACACATTACTGCATGAGACCCCATCACAGGTAAAAATGACACCAGGAGGCCGGCTGACAGAATTGCCACAGCTACGTGTGGGGAACCTGGATTTGCTTGTTTGGGTCCACCCTCTCCCCGTCAGTCCATTCAATCATTCCAGCCCATCCTCTGCAAACAAAATGACCCAAACCATTTCCGGACAGATAACCTTGGTTAAACGTTCTCGGTGAAAACCACATCAGCATCTCCCCCAGGTTGGAATTTAAGAAATCCGTAGCTTGATTTGGAGATGTATTGGCTGCTTCGGCCACTAGGAGTGAGGCCCAGTTGCATAGTGGTTGAAGTGCTAAGCTGCTAGCCAAAAGGCCAGCCATATAAACCCACCAGCAGCTCTGCCGGGAAAAGATAAAGATGTGGCAGTAGGCGTGTGTAAAAATGACAGCCTTGGGAAATCCGATGGGGCGGTTCGACTCGGTCCTATCGCTGCTGCGTCAGACACGGCTAGATGATTGTAATGAGTTTCCAGGCTCAGCAGCTGCAGTAAAGAACTGATTGCTAGGCCCACCTAAAGGTAGGTCATCAGAGCAGCCCGCCCTGGACAGAAACTCTGGTACTTTCATCTCCACTTCAGAGTCGCTTACCACCCAAACTCTTATGGGTGTGAGTCCCTGTGCCCACGTTGTCTTGAGGGATACCAGGGAGAGGTTCACTCTTGCTTCAAGAAGTCAAATGAACTCAATGTAAACCCCATCCTCCAGCATCCTGACACGACTGAAGAGTCAGCCCACGATGCGATGACCTCATCCCAGCCACGTCCCTTTGCCTCAGTAAGTGCCTGCCTGGCCACGTCTTTCCTCTAGGCTGCACACCAACACAACTGCTTCCCTTAAGGCCTGCCCTCCCATTCCAGTCTTCTTCCCTTTGAAAGCTGAGCAGGCACTCGGACACCCATCTGCAATCAGCAATACCTCCTTCCACCAATAAACTCGAAACCAAACTCACGGCCCTCCAGTTGATGCCAACTCATAGTGGCCCTATAGGACAGGCTAGACCTGCCCCTGTGGGTTTCCAAGACGGCAGAAAGCTCAGTCTTTCTCCCGTGGAGCGGCTGGTGGTTTCAAACTGCTGACCTTGTGGTCTGAAGCCCAGCACGTAACCATCCACTCCAAGGAGTCTTCTTTTCCTCCCCCGCCCTCTTCGTAATCCAGCTTCCATCTCTGGCAGCTCCCTGTTGACGCATGGCTGCAATGATTGTTGAATGATTGTCAGCAAAATTTTATTTGCATGTGATATTAATGATATTGTTCAATAAATTTCACATGCTGTTGGGTTAACTTTCTCTGGAATGGGCACAAATATGGCTCTCTTCCAATAGGTTGGCTAGGTAACTCTCTTCCAAACTTTTGGCATAAATAGTGAGTGGCTCCCTCTCTGTGATAATGTGTTGAACCACTTCAGTTGACATCCCAGCAATTCCTTGTTTTCTGTAGAGCCTTCTGTGCAGCTTGGACTTCTTCCTTCAGTATTAGTTCTTGATCGATGCTGCATCTTTAATTGGCTCAATGTCATCTACTTTTTAAACCGTTTTATTGGCACATGATCCACTTGTTGTATAATTCAATAGTTCCATTGCATCAGCTGCTTCTTTTTGATCGGGACTGTTCCCCTTCCAGCTTCTTTGTGTGGACCCTGCATCATTCAGCATTTTGCCTGTAGAACCCTTCAATAGCACAACTTGACGTTTGAGGGGATTTTTGTTTGTTTGTTTTTCAGTTTGGGGCTTTTTTTCACCCAGAGATATATGCTGAGCATGTTCTTCCATTTTGGTTTTCTGGCTTCAGATCTGCGCGTTTCACTATCATGCTTGGTCTTCGAGAACTATCTTTTGAAATGTTTGTTCGCCTCTTTTACTGCATCATTTGACTGAGCTTCTCTGTGTTTAGCAAAGGGCCGTGGGCCATGGTTGTATAAGCCCTGGACTGCTCCCTCTGTTCACTGTGGGTACAGTGTCTTCTGATGTCCACTTTAGTCTTTTCTTTCCGGACTTTCCGACCACCGTTTGCCTTCCTGGAACACATCCTTGACGTGACCCGTGACGAGCTGGGTCTTTGGTCATCAGGGCTCAATGAGCGCCATCTGTTCTTGGGATCCTCTCTAAAGTCTGAAGCGACAGCCTCCAGGTTGTATTTTGACTCTCGTGAACTTGTGTTCATTTTCTTTATCTTCAACCTGAACTTACAGATGACCAGTCAGTGATCTGTGTGTTCCACAGTTGGGCCCTGCCTTTGGGTTGGTTGGTGCAATTGAGCTTCTTCATTGTTTATTTCTACAGATGTAATTGATTTGATTCCTAAGTATTCCACCTGTGTAGTGAGGTTCACATGTATAGCCATCGTTTATGCTGTTCATTAAAGGGATTTGTGGTAAAGAATTGGTCTTACTAAATTACATCATGTGCTCTCCAGCTTAATTTTTATCACCAAGTTTATATTTTCCAACTATTAATCCTTCCTTTATGTTTCCAACTTTTGCATCTCCAATTACCAACACATCTTGATAGTCTGTTTAACATCAGATTGAAGAAGTTGGTAAAATTCTTCACCTTCTTCATCATTGGATTTAGTGGTTGGTGAGTAAATTTTAATAGCACTTGTATTAACTGGTATTCCTTATAGGCATATAGGTGTTCTATCACAGACAGAATGACATTTCAAGATAAATATTGAAATGTTTTTCCCTCTCCAATTTGACACTCCCACTGCACACTATGTAAGTATCCAATTCAAAATGGCCAACACTGGTCTATTTCAGTCCACTAATGTGCCTGTCTTTATGGGTTCGGTCTCATTTTTAATGACTTTCAGTTTTCCTAGATTCGTGCTTTGAACATTTCATATTCTGATTTTTTTGCATATTTGGAAGATAATTTATTCTCCAGAAGAAAGAAAGCAGGCCTGATACATAACATTACACTGGAACATATTAAACATGTTGCCATATTCTTATCTTCTAAACTTCAACAAAAGCTGCTTGTACAAGCTAGTTAAGTAGTGTCCCGATTAAACAAGCAAGACAGCTGATGTACTGGAGATGCCAGAAGCTAAGTCACTTCATCTCCTTCTGTTGCTTCCAGTTGCTAGCGTACTGGCCACTCACATAAATATGTTTAATGTGTCCATGTAGACTCCCATCATCACGTTGATGGGAGCATATTTCTGAATGCCATACATCGGTGCTATTTCTGCACGCTTGATTCCTTTCTGTGCATCATACAGAAGGAACATGCTGAAAAGAACGAATCCACCATACATCGCTACTGAATACAGAGAGGCACCGGCCACAGTGGTGGGTGGAAGAAACAGATCCCAGTGAGGACACAAAGCCGAGCCCAAGGCCCGCTCCCAGGGGTGCGCCCTTGTTCAGAAACTTCTCACTGGGGGCACACATGGCCACCGTGGGGAGGCCCCCAAAGATGCCGGCTGTACACCATGCAGCTCTGATGAGAAGAGGTCCCCCTAATACAGCCAGAGGCGTCACCACTGCTCCCATCACAGCACAATGTCGTAACCAAGCCAGATGCTTTGGGCCCGGGCTCTGGTCATAGGATATTGACCGCACCAGCATTCCGCGCCAATCACGGCTGCAAAGGTGGCACCAATTGTCACCCAAGAAGCTCTCAACATGAAACTCAAGAGAACAGGAGTTCTAGTCCCGGCCATGGCTGACAGGGCAGTTAAACCAATACTTCCAGCTAGGTACCTATCAGGAGAGTGAATTCTATCTTTCACATACTGAGGCCAAATTACAGCTTTTTCAATAGCTCCCATCTCACTAGACATCCCTAAGCCATAATAGCACAATGCTCCAAGACCAACCGCAGCTCCTCCAGCCACAAACCTTCTTCCCATCTGATCAATTTTGAATACTTTTCCCATGGATGGTTCCAATGCCGCCTCTTTGAGTTCTTGGCCAGTTTTTCCACGCCGAATCCCAATTCTTTTTTTTTTTTTTTTAATCCCAAATCTTGACTTGGTGGCATATTTCCTTCTGGGTGTCAAAAGCCACTGATTCTTTGGGATGGAATTCTTCAGAAGAGGGGAGCATTGGTGAATGCTGGCTGGAAAATTCTGGAAGGGAGATTCCGGAGGCACACAAACCTTGCAGCCAGCATGGTGGTGTCCTAGGTTTGCCAGGCAGATCTGAAATACTAGCTCAGGCCCTAGTCACCTTTACCACGTGGTTCCCTGTCGAGACCTGTGAAACGTGAAAGTGCCCACCTCTTCGCCCGTTCGCGCGCGCCTTACTTCATATTCTGATCTTTAATGCACGTTCACAGCTGTTTCTTCCCGTGTGGAGTCATGCCACATTAGCAAATGAGGCCCGGGAAGATTTTCCACGTGTGTCACTCAAGTGGACGCTACTCAGAGGCGGCGGCCTCTTCCCCAGTTGTACTTCTAGCGCCTTCCACAACGAGGGGCTCTGCTGGCAGCGAGGGCTAGCTGCTCTGCATAAGATTTCCATTGGCTATGTCCTCAGGAATGGACCACCCAGCTCATCTTCTTCGCCTCTTATGAGCTGGAAAGTCCACTGAAACCTACTCCCAATGGCTAACCCAGCTGGTACTTGAAATCGTGATAGCATGGCTTTCAGCATCACTGCAGCACGCAGCCACCACAGTCCCGCAGATCCGGCTAGTTGATTGGGAGTCTTCCTGTAGTCGCCTCTGTTGTTTCGAACGGGGTCCATAACCCTCCCGTTTGAGTCTCATTTTTCATTCAGCCACTCATCCAACAAATATTGTTGAGCACCTACGTAGCACTGCAGTAGCTCAAGAAAAGTGTCTGTGTTTCCTGTCTCAGTTCTATTCCAACCATGATTGTTGAAAACACCTGTGGATATTTATTTATAGCTATCCATTTAAATCTATCTAGCCATTCATCCATCCACTCATCCTTTGTAATTAGTTACCAAAGAGTTGAAACGGAAATGTTTAATGAAACATTTACAATATGCTTTCTCATGTTAAAGATTGCCTCTTCAAAAATGGCAGAAACAGAATAACCTCCTGTGCCCTTCCCTATAGAAACCACTCTTCCATTCCGGACTCCACCTCCCGGGTAAATCTCCTCTCCTCAGATGATGGGAAGGTTGGACCAGACCTGGTGTGAGTCAGGACACAGGAGGGTACGAGAGCCAGAAGAACTCTACGAGGGACTCCAGGAGGCAGCGTGGAGCTGACACTCTTCACTGACACCAAGAGAAGAAAGCGGTCCTTTATTTTACGACGTCTGTAGCTCTCCATCCACGGACAATATAAATTAAACTCCATAGCTTTCACTTCCCATCAGGTTCGTTAGATTTTTTGTTTTCAATTTTTTTGGCCAGGGGAACAGAAAAGCTCATCAGAAACCATGTGGAGCTCACGCCAAGGGAGGAAGCACTGTGTTCTCAGCCGACTATGCGAAATGAATTGAAAATGAGGCTCAGTGTTCACAAGGATGGTCTAATAGGTCTCGGCCCAGCCCAGACCCCCACCCCACACTGTGCAACCCACTGCAATGCCAGAAGCCTATGGGCTAGGAGGCAAGGCAATGATTTGGGGCTACGGTTTGCTCTGGCATCAGACACGATAAGAGGCACATGGGGCTGGGCAGGTTCATTCGATTGGACCTTTATGTAGGTTTTTCAGGAAGCATATAAACTGTCATTGCTTATCATATGCTACTTACTGCCTTAAGAAGTTTCTTAGAGATGGGCGCCACTATGATGTCATCACTATCTGTAGTCTGTGCTTCACTCGCGTCCGAAGCTTCACCGCAGGATTGTCTCCCTGCTGGAGAAGCAGCTGGGGTCACATAACTGTCTCAGAGCACCCTGTTCAGGTCCAGGGAAAACAACCCAGCACTCACATGGCCATCCCATCCTCTGGTTACATGTTTTGAGTATCAAGGTTTATGCGACCCTGACTCAGCTTCCAGCCATCCTTTTCAAAGAGTCCATTATTTAGAAGTTTGCCAAATACAGTTCTTTCTAAAAAGGAGAAAGGCAGGAAGGGAGTGGGGAGACCGAGAAAGAAAACAGAATGATAGAAAAAAGAAAAGATCAAAGGAAGAGGAAGGGCAGGAAAAGGTGGGTGTTCTTTTGTAAGGGTGGTGAACAACCAAGCTCATCAAAATAACCACGTCCATGGGAAGCAGCCCAACGCAGGGGGGCAGACCGCATTGCCCAAAGACGGCCTCAACCATGAGCTCACCGGCTCTTCGGACAGTACAGCCGGGAAACCCCTCCCCATCGAGCCCTTGAACTGAGACGCGCTTTTGTCGTCTGCTGCGACCGAGAGAGGCCGGTGGGAATCATGATGCAAGTGACTTCCGGGTTACAATGTAAGACTGTCACGTACCTCTGCTTCCTTCCTTCAGGACTTTCATTCTTGGACCCCTCCATCAGATCATCGTGAGGAAACCCAGGCAACCTCCCCAGGGCCCAGTCAGCTCCCAGCGGACAGCCAAAACATGCTCGCCATAGTGTGCACAGTGGATCCACAAGCCCATGGAAAGCTTGCAGGGCACATTGATCCCGGGGGCTGTGTGGACCACTGGGAAGATCTGCCTCATTCATAGGGCTCTTGCTTTACCGAGTGGAGCCTGGAGCTTCTGTTTTATTACACGTGAGTGAGTATAAATGCCCACTGGGAGATGAGATGTCAACGTGAGACCAGCCATTCAAGGATCCAAAACTAGAGTTGTTGTAAGTTATATATATATATATAGTGTGTGTGTGTGTGTGTGTGTGTATAGAGAGAGAGTGTGTGTGTGTGTAGCATTTTATAAAAGACTGGACTTTAAAATGATTAAAAAAATTTTTTTAATTAAAAAAAAAAGACAGGGCTTTCTACTCCCGTAAGCAGTCACAGTCTCGGAAACTCACAGGGAGTCCCTACAAGTCAACATTGACTGAATGGTGGAGAAAGAGAGAGAGAGAGAGAGCGCAAGCATTTTATTAAGGATCCTAGGTGTCACTGTGGGATAAGCACTGAACTTTTAATTACAAGGTCAGCAGTTCAAACCCACCAGTTGCTCTGAAGGAAAAAGATGAGGCTACCTGCTTCCATAAAGATTTGCAGAATCAGAAACCCTTTATAACACTGGTTCTCAACCTGTGGGTCACAACCCCTTTGGGGGTCAAATGACCCTTTCACAGGGGTCACCCGATTCATCACAATAGCAAAAAGGCAGTCATGAAGTAGCAACAAAAATAATGTTATGGTTGGGGGGTCAACACCACATGAGGAACTGTATGAAAGGGTCACCGCATTAGGTAGGTTGAGAATCGCTGCTTTAAAGGGTCACTATACATCAATGTGTTTGATTTGGGGGCTGTAGTATTTCATTATGTGAATAAACCTCAATTGATTTTTGGGTTTATCACTGATGGTAAGCCCATGTATGCCAGAGTAGAATTGTGCTCCATTGCCTGATCTTGCAGAAGTAGACAACCAGGCCTCTCTTTAAAAGAGTGTATGGGTGAATTCAAACATCCGACCTAAATGATCTTTTCTTTTTTTTTAAGGACTACCACAGAAATAATATTATAATATCTCCTAAACACATAATATTAATTCTGGGGGGGAGCAGAGGGGGGTGATGAGGATCTAATGCCGGGGGTTTAAGTGGAGAGCAAATGTTTTGAGAATGATGAGGGTAACGAATGTACAAATGTGCTTTTCACAATTGATGTATGTATGGATTGTGATAAGAGTTGTATGAGCCCCTAATAAAATGATTTTAAAAATATTAATTCTGTAGTAGTCTTGTGAAAAGAATTCATAACCTGAATCTAATGAAAAAAATATAGCAGATCAATACAAGTTGAGGAGTAACCTACAGATCAAGTGGCCTACAGTCTTCAAAAGTGTGAATATTATGAATGGCAAAAGAAGGCTGAGAAATGGCACCAGATTATAGGAGACTAAAGAGACAGCGAACATTATATAACAATGGATCGATATTATAGTTTGTAAATTTGATCATTGTATTTTGGTTACATAATATAATTTCCTTCTTTCTTTTTAGAATTTTCATTTTAATAGGACAAAATTACTGAAACATAGTACTTAGAGTTCATGATGGCTACAACTTATTCTCAGATAGTTTTCTTTAAAATGTTAAGGCAAAAACTTAAAATGTGGTGAATGTGGGTAAAGAATACACGAAAATGTTTTGTCCTGTCAACTCTTTGGAAACTCTTTGGAAAGTTGAAATTATTATATATATTTTTTGAAAGTTGAAATTATTTTAAAGGAAAACATCTTGAACCTCATGATGTCAATTTTTATAACATTTTGCCCCATATTTATAACAATTTTTATAACTGAGACTTTAACACTCAGTTTTTATCTCCCTGAGCCTAGTAAAGCACAGTCGTAGACTTTGGTCAGCTAATTCCAGTATCTGGAGTCCCAGAGGTCATAGGCAACACTTATCCCTGTAGCTTTGCAAGTATGTCCAAAATAGAGCCCTGCCTCACAGAGCCAAAGAAACTCGGACTGGGGCTGCCTTCCAGGCTGCAGGCCAGAGAAGAGCCAAGTCGCCAGGGTCCTTGGCCTGGGTAGGCCCAGACTCAGCCTGTCGTCCTCATGCCGCCGAGAAGCATGGTTCCTTCCCTTCAATGCCTTCTCCAGACTTGCAATGCCCCAAGGCTAACGTTCCAGTCATTGCCCTGATATAAGCTAGGTCACTCCTCCAGCCCTTTTGGGTCCCTTCGAGGCTTTTCAGAGCATTACGAAGATTGTTTTTCAATATGTTAACTTTAGCTTTTTAGCTGTCATCACTGGAGAGTTGGTCCGATTTACCTAACTTGCCATTACTGTCACCTAGACTGGTGTCTCCTTTTCCTTTTAGCTCAAAAGGTCTATTTTCATTTAAGAAAAACTTAGATTAACATTACATATGCACCACCATGTGACTAAGCTAGTTAGTAAGCTGTATATAAATTATAGAAAAGTTACTTCTAGAAAAAATAATAATAAAAAAGAAAAGTTACTTCCTTTGAGAATTCCAGCCTTGGATGGTCTAACCATCACCTTTGCAACATAAAACTGTGCCTAAAAGAGGACCTAATGTTGGGGGTTTAAGTGGAGAGAAAATGTTTTGAGAATGATGTACAAATGTGCTTTACACAATTGATGTGTGTATGGATTGCGATAACAGTTGTATGAGCCCCTAATAAAATGTTTAAAAAAAACTGTGCCTAAAGTTTTCTTAAGTGTTAATCTTCCGTGAAAAATGTAGTACTGCGAGGTAAGGGAAGAAAGTGAATAACTGGCTTGATAAATGCCATTTCACGATGAACTAGCAGAAACAGATTTACAACAACAACGATACCATGTACAGGACGTTGCTTCTGTTCCAATGCTGCGCAGGCGGATGCCTCTTCATTTCGTTGGCTCATTTTTAAATCCTCGTCTACGGAGACTTTACGCCCTGAGAGTTTCCACTCAGCGTAGTTCATCTGCTTAAGACAACAATACTATTGTTGGTAACGTCTTGGATCTCTCTCTTCTTCCTCTTCTTTAAAACAATTAAAGCTAAAATCAAACCCACTTCCACTGAGTCAGATCTGACTCACAGAGGAACACTGCCCCTGTGGGTTTCCCAGGCTCTACGTCTTCACAGGAGCAGAGACTCATCTCCCCCCAAAGGGTTGGTAGGTTTGAGTTGATGGGTTTGCTCTGCTGACCTGTGGCTAGTAGCCCAACGCATAACCCACGACACCAACCAGGCTCCTTTTTACTTATTGCCTATATTTCATTTTTAATCTAACATTTGCTTTTACATGAAGACAAACGTATTACATGTTGACATTAGAAAAGAATGTTTAAATAACAGATGTTAAGTGATGTTGGAGCGTTTAGATGCTACAAAGTGATCTGACTCAAGTTTTCTATTCAGAAAAGCTGGTCGCTAGCACAGAGTCAGTAGTCAATGAATGCTTGTCCCCTGACTTGTTCCACGTAACCTTGAAAGAATGAGTTAAGGGCAGTGGTACTAAAATTCTCAGCATACCTTCAAGAACCCATAATCCACTGAAATAAGTGAAATGGAAATTTAATGAACCACCTAGCGTTTCCCTGTGTTTGTGGATGCATTGTTAATTACAAATAGCCATGATTGCTGTTAATCTCGTGGGCCTGCTTCTGCTTCTACCTTGAGAATAATCCATTTGGGGACACTGCAACCCATATCTTATCTCCTCGGGGGTCTCTGGACTTTCAGCTGCAGGACACTCACATGAAAGAGGCTGCGACTGAGGTACTCTATCCTGTTCTTTCCTTGCAGCCCTGCGCGTTTGCCATGCTTTCTTCGGGAGTAGCGAGCGATCTGGTGTTGCTTTTTTCTTTCTCCTATCGGAGGAGGCCTTTTCTGGACTTGATATTGCTCCTCCGCAGTAGGAATCTCAGCAGATGCCGTTTGGTCCTGAGTGGAAGGGTCAAAGACAGCCTTACAAGACAATCGTCTAACAGTCATGATACTGCTGAGATTTGTAAACTAGCATTAGACATCATCTAGCTCCTCCCACGGAGCTGAGAGATGCCATCTCTCTCCGTTCCCATAGCAAGACCAGAGTTTTGCTCCATCAATAGTTTCATGACATGATGAGGGATGCAGACGAAGCTCCCAGAACACAGAGAAGTCATTTCTTTCCCTCCAATGGGCATACTGTTTCCCTGGGATCCGCGCCACAGGCTTGGCAGAGATCTGCTACCTGGGAGGGAAAGAGAGTCATTTCCTCTTCAGATGAGACCTCTGGCTCTTCCTGCCCATCATTCTCCTCAGCTTCAGGTGTCGGGAAGTTCTCAGGAGGCAGGTAGGGAGACTCCCAATCCAGTTTCATCTGAATAGATCCATTGGGCATCCCCTCAGAGTCAGTGAGGTTAAAATCACCTGAGCGATACACAGACATCGATAAGATCTGATTACATAAAGTAGGCAAATCTGCATTGATCAACGCCTCAGCCAGCCTCCCAGGTTTTAGTTTCGTCATAGAAACAGATTGTGTTTGTTGCTGGGTGCCATCGAGCTGATTTCAACTCACAGCGACCCCATCCCCAAGCCCCCACCCACACACATACGCGACCAAGCGGAAAGGCAACATTGGGTTCCCTTGGCTGCCATCTGGGCAGTGAGATGGCCAGGTCTCTGCTCCGGAGCAGCTGGCTGAGCTCAAACGGCCTGCCTTTCAGTTCGCAGCTGAGCACCCAGTCTGGGAGTCACAAAGGTGTCTTAGTAATTGATTCACACCCATCAGAAACAATCATCATCATAATAGCCTCCGAAAAAAACGAACCCTAAAATTCCAGTGCTCTTAGACTATTTATCGGGAAGATGAGTGTTTCCAAAAGATACGTGAAGAAGATGGCAGCTTGCTTGTTATCGGTCACCCCGTCAATAAGCGACTGCCTTACTCTTCTATTTCCTTAGTCAGACCAAGAAATCCTGATCTACCCACACATAGTCCTTACGCTAACATCACGAGAGCTAACAAAACTGAAGCAATTGCCACATTGTCAAATGTCAGATTTCTAAATTGTAATAAATCACTCTCATTGCCTAACCTCTTGAGCAAAAGAGGAGTCATGGGCAGAAGTATCACTCCCCTTTTTAGCAGCTCGGGTATTGGGAAGAAAGAAGCCTCACACAATTCTTACATAGCCAGAAGTTTCTTAAACATGGTTGGCACTGGCGAGATTCATACATACTTCCCAGCAAGAACATGGATCTGCCTGCCTCGCCCTCCCAGAGCTGCCGCCAGAGGGCTGACTGCCCCTAGATGCACCTGGAAAGTTGGCTATCAAGTAAAGCAAGCAATACTGGAAAATTCCAAGAAATTTGCCTTTATCGTGACCTGGTATAGAAGTTCCTCTAACCCAGCGGTTCTCAACCTGTGGGTCGAGACCCCTTTGGGGGTCCAACCACTCTTTCACAAGGGTCACGCGATTCATAACAGTAGCAAAATGAGAGTTATGAAATAGCAACGAAAATAATTTTATGGTTGGGGGGGTCACCACAACATGAGTAACTGTATTAAAGGGTCGCGGCATTAGGAAGGTTGAGAACTATTGCTCTAAAGTGTATCTGAAGTTTAAAAGAATCAGGTGGAGGGGGTGAAAGTCACAGCTGATGATCAGATATTTAATCATGCACTAAAAAGCAATAGGCCTTAAGTAAAGACAAAGACTGGAAATAGAGTTTTTTTAAGTTTACTGAGAGTGTGAAATTCAAATGGGTTCTGCCAACTTAAGAATCTGGCTTTTGTTGCTGAAAAGCACAAGCAGCAACTGTTTCCATATGTGAGGCGAGACTTTTAGGTTTTCTGTCCCTGATAATATTCTAAAGCCATTTTAGTGGCTTTAAGACAAACAATTCCAAGCAAGCAACCAGAGAAAGGTAGCAATGTAGGACAGGAAAACAACACTGGGCAAGGAACACAGACAGGGATGTCATAATCTTGAATTCCTACCTTGAATGGATTTGTTTTGTGCAAGAGGCAGCAAGGGCACTTGGACTTGGCCAAGGTAAGAGCCAGGCTCAGAATCTTCATCATCAAAAACATAGACGTGCAGGACTTCCCGCCTCAGGTATTGATCCAGGCCAGAGGTCACACACACGGGGAACTGAGCCTGGTCTCTAAAGCAGGGATTGTTACTGGCTGGGATGACGGCAGTGTCATGGTCGGGAAAGGTGAAGAAGCGGTACATGACGTAAGGACTGGGTTGGGTGCCCAGCCGTCGGCTCTGGAGGCCACAGCACCTGATGATCTCCACCCACAGCTCCTGCTGATGCTGCCAAGCCTCCGGTCTGGACTGGAAAGACAGTGGTCTCGGATGGAGGGAAACGGGCAGCCTGAGAGTTGTGGTGGGGGAAACTCAGCGCTCACAGTAAGGAAGAGCTATGATCTAGAGAACCTTTCTTGGAAACTACCTGGGGCCATTACAAGAGAAGCCTAATGGACTTCACCTGCTGGAGCTTACCTCTGGCAGACAGTTTTGTGAGAGAGACGTGAGTCCTTCTTAGTCTTAGAACATGGAAGAGAGACTTTTCCCCCCACACCAAGGAAAGGCAGCTAGCTCCGAGGCATGACTTCACTTCAAACTTAAGCTTGACCAACCAAAGAATATGGACTAATCTTGGCATGACAGGATTTTAAAATTCTCACTCAACAGATGATTGAGAGTGAAAAGCAGAGCTTTTCATATGAGCTACATGGCTGAGGCTCCTTTAAGATGCATGGGTACATCTTTTTCTCACCTCCTCATCTTCCTGGGCCTCCCAAGCTCCAAGCATATTAGCTGACAGATAGGCCTGGGCCTTCTTACGCTTGCTGCATGCCTTTCGGCTGCATCTTATGGGGCAGCGAAGCCTCATCCAATAATGTAACACTCCAAAGTCTTCTCCACCAGCTCCTGGGTAGCAGAAAGTATGAAAGGCATGGAGGATCTAGAGCAGCGGTTCTCAACCTGTGGGTTGCGGCCCCTTTGGGGGTCCAACGACCCTTTCACAGGGGTCGCCAGATTCATCACAGTAGCAAAATGACAGTGATGAAGTAGCAACGAAAATCATTTTATGGTTGGGGGGTCACCACCACATGAGGAACTATATTAAAGGGTGGAGGCATGAGGAAGGTTGAGAACCGCGGAGCTAGATGGTGTGGCAAGGAACGAGAATAAAGGTAGATGCTCAACTACAGACACTGGGGAATTCTGATTTAGTCCTGGGATCTACCTGAAGCAAACAGCACTTACCGGTAAGTGTGGCAGAGCCATGGACTCTTTCCACAGTGTCCAGCACCCTGTCAAAGCAAATCCATCCAGTGGCAAGGGTGTGGTATTCACTGGCCACCGCCTGGTGCAGATCAAGCCAGGCTGAGGCCCCTTGAAGGTAGTGCAAGAAAAGGGAGTCTGTCTCCACTACATACTGGGAGGTGAAGTCGTAGAGAGGCTGTGGCCCCACAACTAGTGGAGTACAGTGTGTTTCAAAATCATAGAAGGAATAGGTGCAGAAAGTGGTGGGTTGGCTGTCTTTAGCCTGAGCCAGGGCAGCAGGTGTCAGGAAGGCCTGGTGGAGGTGGAGTTCAAAAAGATTTTCACTTTGATGCAGCCGAGAAATGCCCACTTCACTCTCATCTGCCTTGGCTGGTAGTGTTTTCTGTAATGGCAGCTGCCGGGTGCCATAAGCCACATCTTGGAGCTGTTCTAGAGGGGAAAGAAACTACCTGTCCATCAAATGTGGGAAACAGACCTGGAAGAGAGTGTATGCGGACAGACTCTCAACATTCATGTGTTAAGGAGTCTGGGAGGTCAAGGCTCCTGGGGAGGAAACCACTCACATTCTCCTAAGTAAAAGTTATTCCCCACGATGCCCCCCCATAATCATGCCACATCTAAGGTGCTGTTTGCAAACATATGGTCACTGCCTATACACTTGGAGGTCAACTGCTTGAAGGTGATCTGCCTGCCATCGAAGGCAATCAGACCCTATTGTCTGTCCCATTTTACGTACAACCCCTTCCTGTTACTTATGTGCTTACCGTGGCCTGCACCAAGATTATATAAACTCACGAGATTACATTACTCTCTCTCTGGCTCCTGATGTCAGAATGAGAAGCTGAGCCCTTGCGTGCTTCATCCTGCCTGATGTCTCTTTCATTTACCCCTCAATTACACAACCGCCCCTTAGACCCATTCGGTTGTGGAGAGGCTGGTCCCCACAACCTAAAGGTAGAGCGCGTGTCTCTAGGGCAGTGGAGGGTAGCTAGAATGAGACTTTAAAACATGGCGAAAGTTTAAGTTGTGATAATTTGAAGAAACCATGTGATTCAAAGCAAGAGAATGACAAGGAGATTTGAATTCTGATAACCGAATAATCCAATGTTTACTTTAGCAAAAAGTTACAAAATGAGTGATTGGAAAATAAATTCTGGGCTCAGGAAAACTGGAAGCATAATTTTACCATACAGATGATGAAGCTGTTTAGGTTTACATTAAGATATCGTGAATTAATTTCCCCTAGAAATGCACCAGAAACACCAAGCATGGATGTTTCCAATAAACAGATTGAAACTGGGATACGGGCGAAGAAGAGAATAGCAAGTTACAGCTACAGTGTCTATTGCACTGAGCCCCACTAAGAACCGTCTTCCCTTCTCCAGCCAGATCAGTCACAAGAATCTTCATTCTGTTAATACTTTGATTTCATAAGAAGAAGGCTAAAAATCTACTTTAAGTCAAAGAGTCACGGAGTAAGAAGTTAGGGAGAAAACTTACTGGGAAGAAGTTGAAAATATTGGCAACAGGCTGAAATGATACAAAGACACCTACTTCATCCAGGCATTGCCTTCACGTTCCACCGATCAGAAACCGACCTGCAGTCTGCTTCCACATGGGAAGTGTTAGCAGTATCACAGGGTGCTGACGGCGAAGGTCCTGTCTTAGGGTTAATGGAGAGAATGTCTTCATGTTCAAAATAACAAAGTGTGGAGATCAGCTAGTGGTTTTCTTACCTGATGGAACCAGTACAACAAAAGAAACTGTATTTGAATATTTGTATTACATGACAGGGGATCAATAATCTAGGCCCATAAACTTCTTCTACAAATCAACAAGATACTATTAAGAGATGGGCAAAGAACATGAACAGGCAATTCTCAGAAGAAATAATACAAATAACTGAGAAACATGTGAAACCCCCTCTACGGTTTACCAGGAACCAACGAAATACATATTGAAATGAGGAGGGACTCTTCAGAAGTGGGTCGGGGCATATTCTGTATTGCCTTGGGAGCCAGACTCTGAATCTGAGTGACCTAAGATTTTCAAGTCAAGGAGATCTATGACCACATTGACTTTGACATGGATCGACTGCCCTCCAGACAACGCCCATCCTTTTCTAGTTCCATGCTCCTGAAAAACCTGCCTACGGATTTTCCTGTGCAGCGAGAACGCCCCAAAGCATGGTTTCAAGCAGACTCATGACAGCAACAGATTAGCCACTCCTATAAAAAAAAAAAAAGATCATGGGGCATGAAATATCCATCTGGTGAGCTTCTATAAAAACTACTTTATAGGTCTGGGTTGAGGAAACAATTTCAAGAGCATGTGTTAATCGCCCGGCAGCCAGCAGTGAGTGACACTCTCGAATCCTCAAAATAGAATCAAAATCAAAATTCGTTGAAGCAGCTGTGCTCTCTAGTGAAATTCTCTCTAGAAGTCAGAGAAGCATATGAACGCGATGGAAGAGGAGAGGTCGTTAGAGTGTATAGTAAGACAGCACAAATGGCACAACAAAGAAGAGCAGGAATACGTCGCATGCCAGGGCCATAAGGAGGAGTCCTTAGATGGGTACAGAAAGAGGAAGGTGTGTGCTGGCTGTGTGACGGGTCCCAAGATGAGGATAACAGAGTACTAAGACTTGCCAGATGTCGGTAGGCCGTGGCTTCTTAAAATACCTTCCAGCTGCAAGATACGATGGTTCTTGAGATCTAGCAGTTGATTCAACCGCTCCAGTTTCTCTTTGCTTTCTTTCTTGTCATTGTCAGCTTTCGTCATCAAGGTCTCCAGTTCCTCCTGAAACAAATGACGCCTGGACTTTTCCATCTCCCTCTCCCAGCCCACAAAAGCCTAGACTTAGAAGTACTGCACATACTCGTGTATAAGCCGAGTTTTCAGCACATTTTTAATGCAGTTCTGGTGGTAAAGTAGGTGCCTCAGCTGACATTGGGCCGGCTTATACTGGAGTGTATGCAGTAGCACTTGCAGGATGAAGGAGGCTCTGCTATCTCTTTTGCAGGGCAGATTCATCCACTAAAAAGCCACGGATTCCTCCAGGGCCAGTTGTGTTATTAGTGCGATAGGGCAGCCTTTTTGTGGGCCTGGCAAACAGTGAACCCAGAAATCCTAGACCCATCCTTTCCATTAGCTGGCCCCTTCATTCGTTTCTATTTCCAGGGTACCATGGGCATGTGTGTCTTCGAGCTCTTCAAAGAGCACATTCTGCCTTTGTACAGGACAGCATACCACCTTGCACCAGGATCCCTGCAAACTCGGGCCTTGCTTTATTCCCAGCGTGTGTCCCTCGTATCCATTTGCCTATTCCCCTTCCTGTATTGTCTGGTATTGCACCTGATAACACTCATTGATTTTGCGCTGCAAAAGAACCATGTCTCTGGTCTTGTCTAGTTCCAGTGTGGTCTCTGCATGTGATGCTTCCAGTTCATCGAGCATCCGGGATAGTTTCTGTACTTCTTGGTCTCTTGAGTCACGGGGCTACAGAAGGAAACACATCGGCAAGAAGAAATGTAAGTATGAGAAGTAGTGTCATCGTCATCCTCTACAAAGAAGCTGATAGTGGTCGGTAAAATCCTGTCCGCAGCAGAATGTACTCTAACATGCAAAAGAGGTTGCTCATAAGCCTTTCTCCACTCCTGATATTGCCTTCTTTTTCATACGGTCCAGCTTCTTGGGATCCTCAATATGTGGAAAGGCATATAATAAGGAATGAAAGGATTGTCACTTAAAAGTAAAATGCAAAGGAGAACCTGTATTGCTTCACGAGTGCCCTCGCCCCTGTTCCTCATGTGCTATTAGTGCCGTAGGTAACATCTGATTGGAAGTGGCAAAAAGTGAACCCAGCACTTCTACACCTGCCGTTTTCATGAGCCGCTCCCTCAATTGGTTCCTATTTCCAAGTCCCCTGGGCATGTGTGAGCCTGCAAGCTCCGAATGAAGTAACTGCACTGACTGCATGACGGGTACACAGGTTCTATGGGGCTCTTCAGCAAACCGTTTCATGTCCACATTTGGCAAAAGATCCTAAAGTGCATGTGCTGCAAAGGGTAGGAAAAGTGTCTGACGTGCACAGGTATCTCAACTTTCAACCTTCTCGGATCCTCCCAGATATTGCCTTCAATCTGGTCAACCCAGTAATGTTTCTAATTTTTGCCCCCCGCCCCCACCCCAAGGAATATTTGCCAGACATCTCTCTACCGAGCGGGCTTGCGGATCATGAAGTTCTTACCTCTGTCTGAGCAGTCTCCGGGAACAGAGCCTCAGGCGGCGTGGCCGGTTCTGATTCCCCTCCAGGAGACGGCGGGCATGTGTGTTTCTTCTGGAGGATCTCGACTTCCTGTTGATGCTTTAGAAGCAAGCGGGTGATTTCAAGCTTTAGCTCCTGGTTTTGGACTGGGGGTGGGGGCCGGCAGAAATAATTCAGTTACAAGAGTTGAATCAAGTGTGAATTAAATTTTCCCGTGAATGCTTCATTCATTTTACACATTTGCCCTGAGAGAAACCATTTTCTTCCAAAGAGTTCTGGTTTATTGGCCCAGTCAAATGAGCTGCGTCTTGCACAACTCACAAAAGCCTCTTTCCTACTGTGGAGTGAAGGGGAGAGACAATAACAGCAGGCCACATAGCCAACTGGGACCATCCAAATCTTTTGACCACACCAGCACTTCACCAGCTCGGTCTCCCTGCATTCTGACTTCCAGACTGAAGGTTCTCTGTGGCACCCATCTCCACACCTACTTGGCCTGGGAAGAGAATGGACACGCCTTTGTTTCTATGTTTCAGGGAAGGAAGATGATCTGGTTTTCGTGTATGGGAATCCATTCGATGGGGGATTAGGTTAGGTTACCACTAAGGTCCTTATAAGACTTCACTTGTATTTCAGACGGCCCACAGAGCCTGCGAGTTCACTGCTACGCTTGGCTTCTTACGGGTCCTGCCCCTCGCTTTCTTGCACCCCATGTTCATTTCCCTTCACTCTTCCATGTGAATATTCTAGCATGTGATGCAACATAAATTGGATCACACTACATAGCCAGATCCAGGTGGGGCAAAGAGAAGTTAGGTAAAGGTCTTTTAACAGTATTATAAAGTCTCTGGCATCTTCCATGATTCAAGAATTAAGTTATAGGAGAAGAGGGAAGTGACAGTGGTTGCTAAGAGTAATAATTTGCATCTCAGTTTCAAGTCTCGGGTGCTCAAAAAAGATGGCTCCCAACCACCTCTGAACTAATTGACAAGCATAACATGATGCTTGTTAAAGCCACAGAAATTATTGCTCATTACTTTTAACAAATAATGTGAATACTTAGAAACATAATAAATTAAAACTTGACATCCCTTTTGGTACCAGTCCTCTGAATATGACTGAACTATTGAATTGCATACATGAATTTTATGCCAGTAGAGCGATTTTAACAATTAGACATATCCTTAAATGGAAAGACGTACACTTGCACGTTAGAAAGGTGTCGTGCCTTCCTGTTGGCACATGTGATCTGATTTCTAGTGGTCTTATTTTAGTTATACCCACACAAGAATATGATTTAAACAAAAAGAATCAGATCAATTGTGGGGGTTGGAGAACTGGTGGCCCACGTTCCTTTTCTCCAAGGCAGATGAAAAGAATACCACATTTGAGAAAACGCGTCCAGGCCCCTCCTACCTTTCTCGTCGTTCAAGTGCAGTAAGATTTTCCTCTTCTCCTCCAGCTCAGCATGCAGCTTGTCTTGCAGCTGAGAGACTTTCCCTTGCAGCTGTTCCCCTATGAGATCGTTGCCCCAATGGGGCAGAGTGCTGCTGTCCAGCATGCTGAAAATGGGAGATGAACAAGGAGGGAGGGGAGAGTCTTCAGACAGACCCTGGGCAGTACGTGGGATGATGCCTTTGTTACACAGTATTAGCATATCCTGGGCCTAGCTCATCCTTCATTCCCTCACATGGTTTTTCCTGCCCCAGATTGATCTGTAATTGTCATTAACCAACTGCCTTGGAACTTTTGGGTCCAATTGAGGTCTCAAGTATTCCACTGAGCAGACACCCTAAGCCATATCCCTTTCCTGTGGAATTAGGCCAGCAAGATGGCTTTCTTTAAGCAGGGAGCTATTTACCCAGGCATTCTCAGGCCTGCAAGGTCAGAAATTAGGTGCACAATATTCCTCTTCACATTACTCCATTCCTGTCTTCCACCATTGCCAGTTTAGAGAATAGTTGCCTATGAACTAAATTGTAAATTACTGTACGTGGCAGAGGGCAGAAACTAGATTCTTCGGTGGCTGTGTTCTGGACCCAAGGTCCCTAGCTGACTCAAACCATTTGCACTTGACTGTGGGTCAAACCCACCCAGAGGTCCTGTGGAAGAAAAAGCTCAGTAATCCACTTCCAGTCAGAGTTCAGCAAATACAACCGAAAAACCCTGCAGTTCTCCTCTGCAGGACATGGGTGCACCTGAGTCAGAATCCATTCCCTGGCACCTCAATAAGAAGCCAGCAGCACCCAGGGCAGACCCATGTGGAGCATAAGCCACACATGGCTTATTGTTGAACATTCACACACATGAAGTGGCATTGATAGTCAAACAGTTAATTCTGTTTATGCCTTTTTCTTATCGCTGTAATGAATGTGGCCCAAGAACAACTTTCCTAGCTCCTATTAAGATTGCACAGCACTTCCTGACATCCATCGCACGGTGATCCAAAAAAATACTGTTGTGAATAATAAAGGAAATAGGGCAATCGCAATGTTGGTCACAGGGGAATCTCAGGTGGGCCCCCCGGCTTTGTTTCACTGTTGAAGAGCATCACTGGCTCCCATGATACTCATACAACTTCCCCAGTCTGCCCCCTGCTGCCTTTAACTGTGTCAGAAGGGACTTTTGCTTTTACATGGCTTTTAATGACAAAAGACATACATCAATACATATGCTCATGGTAAAAATTAAAGTAACATAAAAGTATATGAAATAAAACTGAAGTTGCCCTTTGGCCCTACTCTGAGTCTCTGCATTTTCCCCAAATTAACCTCATCAACTGTTGGTGGATATCCATACATGGGCATCACGTAAATCACATCAGCATTTAACATTCTGTTGTAACTTGCTTTTTTCTTTTGACAATAAAGACAATGTATATCTTGGACATGTAAATATGCCTCATTTTAAACAGTCGCATAGAATTTCATTGCAGGGATGCAACATGATTTACTCAGCATGATTTAATAAATCTAATTCATCGATACTATTGACTATTTCCCCCAAAAGTCTAATCAGTACCAAATATGATTTTTTTTAATTTAGAAGACATTTTTCCACACTTGTCTTCTGTAGCAAATAATGCTCCAAGACCCCCAACTTGATACTCACTTTTCTAAGAGTTTATCATAATTGTCATTCAGCAATTCTCGTTCTTTTTCCAAATCTTCAATTCTTTCCTGAAACTTAAAACGGTAGTAGAGTGCCTGAGACAACATTTTAAAATCTATTGCCCTGCCCAGGTGTTCTCTTTTCTGTTGCAATGCGGAGATGGGAGCTTTTCTATACTCACCTCCCACATCTATGATGGGAAGAGTGAGAAACTATTCAACTAATATATATATATACCAACTGAAAATGGGGTAGCAACTTTCGGTGACATTAATGAAGATTCTTTGAAGCAGGTTTGCTCCGTGTCCAGGCTTCCACTGTTAGGGAAGAAGCTGTATATTTTGAAAGAGCAAGGACTCTGGAGAACAAACCTCCTATGAACCCCAGCTTCCCCCCTAATATTATAATCTTGAGAAAATTACTTAACCACTAGGAGTCTCCATTTTCCTCATTGGTAAAACGGAAATAGTGCTATTTCATTGTTGTAAGATCCTGTCTTAACATCTGAAATTGGGACGTAATTCACAACGGACAGTATCTCTTCATTATGCTGCTAACTTACCTCTTTCAGGGTCAACTGCAGGATGGTTACATCTTCCAGTTGGGTCTTCAGGCTGACAGCCTTTTTGCTCTCCTCCGTCAGCTCCTCCCCGAGTTTAGTCACTTCGCCCAGGAGGGCATCGTGGGCTATGCCCAAGACGCCCTGATTCTGGGACAAAGCGAAAGGCACTCTGTGGGTGTCCTGGCGTTCGTTAGCAGGTGTCCACCTGAGTCGTGCTGATTAAGACCCCATTGCCTTTGAACTGTTCATCGACAGTTTACTTTTGTACTAGTATGGTATTTCCTTGGGACATATAGTTTCCTTATTTAGTGACAATTATCCCTTCTGGGCTATTGTAATTAGCCCACGGAGCCTGATTTCCCCAGAGTTCTGATGAAGGCCTGCCTTTATAGGTGCCACCTCTTTTAAAAAGCTGCCTTAACTTTCTAAGCGATGTGATGCTTGTTACGCTGAGGAAGTCCTCCCTGTGCACCCGGGAAAGTGGCATGTGGAAGCAGACGACTCCACAAGCTAAATGGCAGTGGGCTGTACTGGTTGGTGGTTGAGGAATAGCTGTGGCTGGTGATCCTGGGCAGGGTGATGTGCAGTTGTCAGTTGTCACTAAGCCTGACTCATGGCACAAGCTTCTGTATAACAGACAACATGCTGCCAGTCCTGAGTCATCTTGATGGCTCTGTGTTCAGCTCCATCACTGGAACTGTTATGTCCAGCTACCACATTAAAGCTCCCTCATTTTCACTCCCCTCTGTTATCACCATTTGTCTGATTGTTGAAATACAATGGCTTGTATGTACTGTGATGGTGGAAACTATGACACCCATACTAGCAGCGTCTCCCATGGTGGGCACGTTTCAATGGAGATAAAAGAAGAAAGGCCTGGTGGTCTACTTCTGAAATTAGCCAATGAATTCCATGGATTCCCGTAGAACTCTGCCTCACTTTCTCCTAATCATGAGCATTCACTCATCGCCACCCGCCCCCTCCACCAACCATCACCACCACATCTACAACTCCATTTTAGGGATTAAGGTGGGTCTGCTATTCAGTAACATCAAAGAAGATTTAGAACAATTTTTGTTGTATTCCACCACTTCACACAAGCTAGAAGAATATTCAAGAATTTTTTAAGCCTGTGTTACAATTCTCCCAAGTAATTGATGGGCTGAAAAACACTGTTCCAAATATTTCTTAACGCAAATCTCATACTCGGTCTTTATGGAAACCATGCAATGAATATCTTCTAATAATAACACTATTTTTTCCGAATAAAATTTGTATGACATAATGACTATGATTTAATTGGTTAAATTCCGATGTTACGTCAATTGGATATGAATATGAATTTGGTTTGATAAATTGTTAACAGAGACTCAAGTAATCTTAATTAAATACCTTCTGGAGCAGAGTTTCATACGCCTAGAAGAGAAAAATAAGCATTATTTAGCTGACTTATCCATTTGATATGCATGTTTGGAATGTATATCTCTAACTTAAATGCTTAAGAACGTACTTTTTTAAAAACATTGTTAATAATTTCCCCAAACCAAGACAATTTATGAAATCATTTACTAATTACTATCACTTTTCCCCTAGCCTACTTGGCCAGCTAGTCTGTGAAAGTAATAAATCATATCTTTTTTTCATTCTTTTACGAATGGTCGGACATTCACGTTTGCTTTGTAGTTGGTGGGTTATAGAAGACATCGACTCTCAAACCAGATGCTCTGTATGACTCAGGCTGTTTCAGAGAGG